TCTCCCTTAAAATCACTCGTTCGTATGCCTGCGGGGCGCGCTTTACACTTTCCCCAGATGACCCCACAACACAATCCTACCTATTAATGTAGTGCCATGGTTTACAATTCTCCAGTTTTGTCCCGCTTTCCCGGCTGTTCCCTTTTAATATTTTCATCTCTCCATTATTTTATTCGTACACTACAAAAAGACGAACGGCGGATCACCGACCTTCGAATAAGCCTCAAATTCTGGCTCAGTATGAGGCTGAACATCTCAGCACCCTCGTCACAAACCGTAATAAGGCACCTCCCGATCCGGAATCCAGTCTCAAACGATTGCGACATCTGCAGGAGAGCAAGCAGATAAACATCACACCAGTCTTGCTGGTCATACAGGAGAATGCAGGCTCTTACGAATTCGTGGTGAAGGATAAGAAGACAGGGGTATGTGTCAAGTTAACCGACTTTTCTGTACACCTATAGCTGAAAGCATGGCTATATTAGGTACAGTCTAATCAAATGCTGGACTGATACCGAAAACCTATTAGTATTATTCCGCTTACATCTGGCCAGGTTTTTATTGAGAACCAAACACCCAAGTAGGCATTTTGATATATGATTTAGGACATCGACTCTGCTATTTTAACCCGATGCCGTGGTCCCGAAAGAGTGACATCCTCTTAAAGGTCATATTTTCGGGAATTTATTTCGTCTCTGCAGCGGTAGACTTTTAACATTATTTAAAGGGGTTTGCCCTGGCGTCAGACAAGGTTCCGTATATGTCGAGACTGCGATTATCCCTCCTTCCTACAGAAGTCTGACTATTATTTCGGTAAATTGCTATATGGACCAGAACCCATTATTTTAAAGTAGCCAAGACATACTAAAAGTGTGCTCAAACCGCAGCCTACTGCAATTAGCGGCCCGAAGTGCAGCCATTTGAGTGCTCGAAAATCAGGCTCTTCAAGATGACCGACGATTTTCTCCGGGTTGCTAATGTACTGACAGCAATCACAGTTTTAATTCCACGTGAGGGAGTTTTTACGAACGGTTTAGGGCACGATGCTTCACGTTTGCAGAGACCTTAAAGTACACATTTGACATTATCATTGACAACATTAGTGAAATAACATCAGACTACTTTTGATTAATCCTGAGCTCGAGGGACTCAAGCAAACTAGTGAGAAAAATAGGCAGAGCATAAATCTGCCACGGAGCAAGAAGGAGAGAGAGAGAGAAGGGGGCTCAACATATTAATCGAAACGGCCCACAATACTTACATGCTCGGTGCTTTTTAAGCCGAAAAAAACTGCCAAATAAGCACAACCTAATTGCATAAAATTATCTCAACCCCGAAAGTATATGATGCGCATTTTTAAAATGACTGTCAACTAGAGCACAAAACTTCTGTGTTTTGTGGCACAAAGTGACACTGAGGGAGACAAATTAAAAAACTGGCGTTCAAATTGTTTTGGTGCGTTTACGGTTTGTCCAACCATACCCAGAAGCCGAATGGTTTGCGAGATGCAACCTCGCAAATGCACAGGGTTAGTCGATAATATGTAGTATGCTGGTTTCTTATCGTATATTGGTGATCACATAGACCGACTCGTCTGTCCACTTCTCCGCTTGTCTCTATAAAGGTTTTCTGATATTATGGGGTTTGGAATTCCTGTCATTGCCAATACAAGCGAACATGCGTGTTCCTGGAAGTAATTAAGACAAAGTAGATGTAATCACTGGGACAACAATTTATTCCCCTGAAGTTTCGATATCTGCTGCGGATCCATCATTAGAGACAATTTCAAGAAGGGGTAATTCATACATAGGTAGTTGCAGTATTGATAGTTCATTTGGGCGTAATGCGCTCCGGCTGGCCCGACGATGGGAAACGTTTATCGCTCATGGAGCCTCAACCTATGCGCACATCCGGTTTCCGCACAGGTGTCTTGACAAGGACTGAATCCTATAAATACTGCCCCTCCCTGTGAATGCATTACCCATTTGTGGTATTTTCTCTGACGATGGATCCCTGCCCCAGCTATCACATCTACTTCTTTTCAACTCTTGCAATTATCATCCCTTTCAGGCGATATGAGCATCTCCTGGCAACATTAGCTTATAGAGTCTCCCTCATTAATCCCTACTCCCAACATGTTGTCCTATGAAAACTGTGTTTATTGGGTTTTAAGGGTGGGGAATTAGGATGCGCAGTGAAACATACTTTAATAACTGCTGTATGCATTTCTATTTTATTGTATTTAAAAGTGTTGCTGATTTATATCTGTAGACTTTCCTAATATGTATAATAGTGTAATTTATTGCGGAAAAACCCAATTATCAAAAGGCAGGTTTATTGAAATTCCCGAAAAATAGAAATGGTGGTTTGAAGGTCGTCTACTTCAACTTATCTGAGGTCCAACTTACCGTTCTGAAGTTAGATTAATATAGTCTGCGGCGCGAAGCGCCGCGCACACCTTGAAATTACATGCGGAACAACTTACTCCCAGCGGCCGCGGGAAACAAATTGGACTGCACTTTTTTCCCTTTATACTTCTAAAAATTCCCTTCCCTGTCTAACCTATTTCCCCACCCCCTAAAACCCTATAAACACCGTTTTCGTAGGACAAATGCTGGGACTAGGGCTATATTAAGGGGACTACATAAGCTACTTTTGCCTATATCCTTGAGCTAAGTTAGTTCATCACATGACCTTAACTGCCTAGTTGATGTCTCTCCCAGAATTACATCTCGTACGCTCTTTAAAGTAGGCTTCAGAATTGTAGATCACGAGTTTTAGGGCACGGATGTCCAGTGGTTTCAAGTGTTATTGTTTAGTGGGTCATATGAAGTTTGCAGTAATAAAAGTGACCTTGCGCTAACTTTCGTGACGTCACGTTCAACACAGCATACATTTAACTCCAACATTACCTCTAACCCGCCTAAATTTAATACGGTAGGGATTCACAGTAGGGCCGGCCCATGATAAAAGTCTCCCAGCCCACATTTCTGACGGAATTCGTGGTTAACGGTTTGATGCTTAATTAATTAACAGTTAATGCGTGGTAAGAGCACAGTAGAAAATAAATTAGAGGTTTGTAATTGTCTAACTGAACTAAAACGTAAATGAGAAGGGTGCGAAAAGGACAAAAAAGACCAAGTAAACGATAACAGCAAAGGTAGCATAGGTAGCAAAGGTAGCATATAAACCCAGAAAATTCTAGGAGTAACTCCTATTGGTTAAAAAAGGAAGCCAACAGACCAAGGAAACGATCAGAGTAACGTTTAGTACCATTAGGTGGACCTTCGATGCATCCCCACCGTAACTACTTACTGACACTAATCCTAACCTTAACGCTGATCTCATCCACCCCTGAAATGCAGTGCAAAAACACCTGTATTACGGGGAGGTGGAGTTCTATATACACGCATTCAAGCTTTTGTTGAATGAGATGTTTAATGGGTTCATCATGTTTAATTTTATTCGAACTTTCAGAAATTCTCTTCTGTGGTGCCTTGAGCTTTAGCAGTAAGGCAGTGCCGTATAGACTCTAGCTAAAGTCCAGTATCCCAAACAGTGAGCACCTTTCGCGTACGACGACTGAATTTTCACAAGAAGTGCTTAGTGAAGTAGACCATTGAACCAACACCCCAGATTTGGGACAGGGATGGAGATAAATTAAAACAAGGTGAGGAAGTTTAAGTGATTTGATAACTAAAACAGAAAGGTGGCGATATTTGGATGTGCAAATAAGGACTGGAGAAACCGCAATTGCTCACTCACGCGTACCTTTTGAAAACTGACATAACTAAATAGAAAAAACCCTCATCTTCCATTCTTATTTGTGCTGTCACTGTATCAGCCTGTTTCCGGTGAAGTAAACGGCATCTGTCCTTCACTTTGGACATTAAGAGGGCACAATTTTCTTCCTGATTGTATGGTAATTGGGGTTGGCTGAAGTCACCGGATCAGCGTAAACATAAGTAACCCCTCTGTGAATGTCTGCATGGGCCACATAAGGTTAGCAATAAATGTGCGTTCTTCGATACTGGCGTGAAAGTGAAAGCCGCTTGTTTCTAGTAATAATTTTCTTGTAGGAACACATAGTTAAAAAGTCGAAACTAGGCTCCCAGCGCTGTTTCTAAACAGCGTTCTGAAAAAAACTATCCATAAAAGTGATGACTCACTGCAGATTTCCGATCTAAATGAAGATTTAAAAAACTAAAACTGCTGACCTAAAGCGCAATAACGACCCAGAGTTGGTTTCAGTAGAGAAAACCTACGCAGTGTCGACTGTATTTTAGTCGCACCTGTACGTTGCATTTTATTCTTTCACCCATTGACATCCGGAGACTTTCATGCTGTTTTTCTTTCCTTTCCTTAAAGGATGTATGTGAGACATTCCCGGTGGAGGAAATCACTTCACCAATCTACAAGGAGTCGAACGATCCCACAGATCACTTCAGCAATCTCCTGATGTTCAATGTGAACGCCAGCTGGAAGCCAGGCGCGGGTCCCGATCAACATGAAATGCACATATTCCATGTAGGCATGTAGTGTTATAGCATCACAAACAGCATAGTCCTCTATTGCCTCAAGAGTTGAATGCATAGCGTTTCAAATTTGCCCTTAGCATACTCAATCGTAAGTTACTAATGGGTTCAGATGGGTGGGCGATAAGAACCATAAGCTGATGAACTGAGAGGGAAGTTGGTGCACACTGGCTGGATTTACGATCGATCGGCTGCCTGATATG